AAAAAAAAGATTTGATCAATCAATCAATCAAATCAATCAATCAATCAATCAATCAATCAATCAAATCAATCAATCAATCAATCAATCAATCAATCAATCAATCAATCAATCAATCAATCAACCAAACCAATCAAGATCTTGAAGATCTTGATTGGTTTGGTTGATTGATTGATTGATTGATTGATTGATTGATTGATTGATTGATTTGATTGATTTGATTGATTGATTGATTGATTGATTGATTGATTGATTGATTGATTTGATTGATTGATTGATTGATTGATTGTGTGTGTGTGTGTGTGTGTGTGTGTGTGTGCCACGGCCACGCAACGGATAGATCGAAGTTGCGCGAGGCCTTTCGATCGACGTTGTGCGAGGCCAGCCGCGGCCGCGCAACGAATAGGTCGAAGTACTCTCTCTCTCTCTGTCTCTCTCTCTCTCTCTCTCACACACACACATACAAAGACACACACACACACACACACACACACACACACACACACACACACACACACACACACACACACACTGTTTTTAGAGACTAATTCCATAACTCCTTAACACATACCTACATTCAATAACAGATACAGAGACCACAAATAAACATAGCATACACAGTCCATACACACCCCTACACGAAACTATACGCGTATGCATACCTGGTGCCCACCCACCGGACCCAGGCTCACCCCCCCTAGGCGACTAACATACGATCCCCCCACCCTAATAGCCCCATAATAAAAAACAGAATATCTACGAACGACTACCTGCGCCCCACCCACCAGCCCCAGGCTCACAACCCCGACACACCTCCCCTCGCTATTCCTGTATATGGTACATAATAACATCAGCACTAGGCCTCCCACCCCCTGACCCCTACACCCAACATCCTCACCCACCCCCCAACCCCCACACGCCGCCAAAAATAAAAACCACCCCCACACCAACACAGTCGCTCGCTGACCACCCTACTGAACCAGATTACAACCCTTTTGTCTCCAACCCACAGTAAAACGACCACCAGCACCCTGCTGACCCAGTAACGACAACCCAACTCTGAGAAAAACGCCTCCCCACAAAAAAAAACACCTGAATAAAAACAAAATAAGGAAGAAACAAGAACAAATAATAAAAATAAAATAATATTTGAAACTCCTGTCCTAACCACACCCACCGAAGTAGCACGACGTTTCGGCCGAAAAATGCGCGCATACTACCCAAAAATCCTCTCCACTTGCCTTTCCCCCCCATACCACCTGCCATCACTGCCCCAAAAAAAACAAAAAAACAAAAATTCAAAAATCCAAAGAATACCACCTCCCGCCAAAAAGGAACTCAACGTGCCCGCCCACCCCCTATGCCCATACTGCCAAACGACCACTCCACTTGCCTGTACTACCCGCCATCGCTGCGCGTGATACAAACACACAAGGCTAAAACCCGCACGTCTCCTTCTGCCATGAAAAAACAGCTCTCCACTACATGCGTACCCCTTCCTGCAACCATGGCACGACTTCCTCCTACAAGCCTTAACCCGACAATCCCAATGCAGCCCCCCACACACCTCCCACTCCCCACCACCTTCCTCCCATCACCACCGACCCCTTCTACCCCCTACACCCACCCCCCTGCAAAAATCCTTGTACCTGCCGCTCAAATGCCATCACGCACACTACATACACGCCCACCCCTCATCCCACCACCACAACCCTCAACACACACTCCCAAAATGTATCCATTGGCACACCATGTACTGCCCACTAGCCCCCCTCCCCCATCACTCTCCCTTTGCCTCCCCCAGATGCGCCCTACCCCCACGGCTGAACCTACACCTCATTCCTACCCCTATCACCATCCCCGCTGCACACACACACACACATCAGCTGTAACCCCTTGTCCCCTGCATTCTATCACTACTTAACTACCATCCACCTCCCAGCCCCGCAGTCACTTCGCCGCAGCAGCGACGGAACCGACTGTGTGGACATTCTCTTCACCCCCTCTTCCCTTCCCTCTCCCCTGCCTCTCTCATACCTTCGCTGCGGCACGGTCATTACCATAGCCGTCTACAGCTTGAAGGTTATCACTTTCTTCGGTCTCTGCCATAGACTTCCACTGTAGTCTGAGGCCTGCCGACTGGTGAGATCGTGATCGGCCGTAACAGCGCACCTCTGCCCTAACGCTGCGATCACCTGTGGGATAAGCGCCGACCTCGAAGACGGGTGCAATGGCTGCCTTGGATGAGCACATCAATGACGTCGACATCGACGAGCACATGGTGAGTTGCTAGACATCTAGCTACCCCCCTATGCTTTGCTCTCTATCTCCCTCTCTCACCTCCCTACTGGGAGCCAGAGGACTTAACACCCTCTGATGAGCCGTTATGGTGCAAACGGCGAAAAGCGCTTTAGGGGACGCGCCACCCCTCCTCCATTGGCTTTGCCAATGTGTGATGGTCATACCATCTGTGCTCCCCCCCCATCTCCTTCTTCCCCTGCTCTTCCTATCTTCCTCTGCCTTCTCCTTCGTCGTTCTTTACCCCTGTGCAAATGGATCACATGACGCATGCATGAAGGGATTTTGTGGTTGTGGTAAGCGATGTGAGCAGGACAAAGGATCGGACCAGGTATGGATTCCCATGTGTTGGGTTGCTATGGTAGCATTATGCTTGTATTCACACACACACACACCCACACACACACACACACACACGCACACACACGCGCACACACTCACTCACTCACTCACTCACTCACACACTCACTCACAATCAATCAATCAATCAA